TGTTCTTTTTTTTTTTTTATGCAGCCTGTTGGCTGAATGAAAAAAAGAGAAGAAATCTCTGCCAGAAAAAGTGTGTGGTATGCTCACCATTAGAATATACCGCCCTGCATCCACCCACTTCTAATGGTAGGCACACGTGAAATATGCCAAAAAATATTATAAAATATACAGTGGGGCAAAAAAGTATTTAGTCAGCCACCAATTGTGAAAGTTCTCCTACTTAAAAAGATGAGAGAGGCCTGTAATTGGCATCATAGGTAGACCTCAACTATGAGAGACAAAATGAGAAAAAAAAATCCAGACAATCACATTGGCTGATTTGGAAAGAATTTATTTGCAAATTTTGGTGGAAAATAAGTATTTGGTCAATATCAAAAGTTCATCTCAATACTTTGTTATATATCCTTTGTTGGCATTGACAGAGGTCAAACGTTTCCTGTAAGTCTTCACAAGGTTGGCACACACTGTTGCTGGTATGTTGGCCCATTCCTCCATGCAGATCTCCTCTAGAGCAGTGATGTTTTGGGGCTGTCGCTGGGCAACACGGACTTTCAACTCCCTCCAAAGGTTTTCTATGGGGTTGAGATCTGGAGACTGGCTAGGCCACTCCAGGACCTTGAAATGCTTCTTACGAAGCCACTCCTTCCTTGCCCGGGCGGTATGTTTGGGATCATTGTCATGTTGGAAGACCCAGCCACGTTTCATCTTCAATGCCCTTGCTGATGGAAGGAGGTTTGCACTCAAAATCTCACGATACATGGCCCCATTCATTCTGTCCTGTACATGGATCAGTCGTCCTGGTCCCTTTGCGGAGAAACAGTCCCAAAGCATGATGTTGCCACCCCCATGCTTCACAGTAGGTATGGTGTTCTTTGGATGCAACTCAGCATTCTCTCTCCTCCAAACATGACAAGTTGTGTTTCTACCAAACAGTTCTATTTTGGTTTCATCTGACCATATGACATTCTCCCAATCCTCTTCTGGATCATCCAAATGCTCTCTAGCAAACTTCAGACGGGCCCGGACATGTACTGGCTTAAGCAGGGGGACACGTCTGGCACTGCAGGATCTGAGTCCCTGGCAGCGTAGTGTGTTACTGATGGTAGCCTTTGTTACGTTGGTCCCAGCTCTCTGCGCGTCATTCACTAGGTTCCCCCGTGTGGTCCTGGGATTTTTGCTCACTGTTCTTGTGATCATTTTGACCCCACGGGGTGAGATCTTGCGTGGAGCCCCAGATCGAGGGAGATTATCAGTGGTCTTGCATGTCTTCCATTTTCTAATTATTGCTCCCACAGTTGATTTGTTCACACCAAGCTGCTTGCCTATTGCAGATTCAGTCTTCCCAACCTGGTGCAGGTCTACAATTTTGTTTCTGGTGTCCTTTGACAGTTCTTTTGTCTTCACCATAGTGGAGTTTGGAGTGTGACTGTTTGAGGTTGTGGACAGGTGTCTTTTATACTGATAACAAGTTCAAACGGGTGCCATTGATACAGGTAATGAGTGCAGGACAGAGGAGCCTCTTAAAGAAGAAGGTACAGGTTTGTGAGAACCAGAAATCTTGCTTGTTTGTAGGTGACCAAATACTTATTTTCCACCATAATTTGCAAATAAATTCTTTCCAAATCAGCCAATGTGATTGTCTGGATTTTTTTGCTCATTTTGTCTCTCATAGTTGAGGTCTACCCATGATGCCAATTACAGGCCTCTCTCATGTTTTTAAGTGGGAGAACTTGCACAATTGGTGGATGACTAAATACTTTTTTGCCCCACTGTATATGCCGAAGCATAGGGGCTATCCACCCACTGGCCACTACAGGCCCCCGTGCTTCGGCATATATGCTCTTTTTTTTAACTGCGGATGAAAAATTTCATCCAATAGCACTGCACACACTTACTTATGTATGTTCTGAGAGCAAGACTCTGTTACTGTCATAAATAAGTTGGTGCTGCAGCTGAATGACATTCCTGCAAAGAAAACAGCAAAAAACAATAAAACAGTAACAATAAAACAGTAAAATTGTAATAGTAGAACAGTAACAACAACAAAAAAAACTATAACTATTTTTGGTTTTTAAAATGTTTAAGTTTGGGGGGATTTGTATTTTTTATTTTTATTATTTTTTACTTTTTTTTTAAACTTTAAACTTTTAAAACAGATTGTAGGGTCTCTCCAAATGCAATAACCAGTTTACTAACATCTTTCGAGACTCTGTGTAAATATGTGCCCTGAACTTTGCCATGCTGTACCCTATACTAATACTCCACTAGTGTGTGGTAGGGACGGAAGCAGTCCTTGAGGCAGAGACCAGGTTGGCCAGGACACGAGGGACAAAAAAATAGTGTGTCACGCCTAATTCCATGTCTGCTACAGACACATCTTTTTTTGGGGTGTCCTTTGGGTTGGGGTATCAGGAATAGAATCGGGAAAATGCCTCTCATGCAGCCGGCTAACTGCATCTGTGTTGGGGGTTTGGGCCACAGCACCTTCTGGATAAAAAAGGGCTGTGATGATTTCTTCCTGGAATTTTAAGAAGGATCCACTTTGTCCAGTTGCTTTGTAAAGCACAAAAGCATTATATAGAGTCAATTGAAATAAATGAACAGACTCTTTTTTTTTGTACCAGCATCTGGCTTTTTGGGAAATTAAGAATGGCTTCATCATCTGTTCGTTGAAGTTTACCCCTCCCATGTTAAGGTTTTAGTCATGGACACAGAGGGACTTCTCAACAACACCTGCCTTGGCAATTTTGCCGTGTCTGCGTGAATGGAAGACAGGACAAAAACATCCCGTTTGTCCTTCCACTTCACAGTGAGCAATTTCTCATTTCTCAAGCAGGTTTTTTCTCACTTTCTAAAAAGGATATTTACAAGCCATTGGGGAATTAGGTCGCATGGTGCCACGTGCGCCAATTCCAAGATTGTACAAATGTCTAAATAGTGGCACGCTTGAATAAAAATTGTCCACTTATAAGTGGTAGCCCATATGGAAAAAGGATGACACCAAGTCCCAAACTATCTTGCTATTGCTCCCCATGTAGTCTAGGCATCCGGGGGGCTCCACGTGATTATCTTTTCCCTTGTAAATCTGAAACTTATATGTATAGCCTGTTGCCCTCTCACAGGTCTTTTACATCTTGATCCCATATCTGGCACGCTTGCTGGGGAGAAATTGTTTGAATGCAAGGCAGTCAGAAAATGAATGAGGGACTCATCAATGCAGATGTTTTACTGGGGAGTATAGACATCTGCAAATTTTTGGTTAAGGCGATTTACAAGGAGCCGAATTTTGGGGAGCCAGTCAAATTCACAGTCACCCCAAGAACGACAGAATGTATTGTCGTTGAAATGCATAAAACACATTATACTCTCATATCTATGCCTGGCCATGGCAGCAGAGAACACGGGCATATGATGAATCGGGTCTGTGAACCAATACAGCCGCAATTCATTTTTTTAGTAATGTCCATGTTGAGGGTTAGGCCCAAAAAAACTTTAAATTGGAAATCCGTAATGGGTTTCCATGCAAATGGTCTGGCAATTTTTGAATTTGGGTTGGCGGCGATAAACTCTTGTGCATACAAATTGCTTTGATCCACAATCAATGCATACAGATCTTTTGTGAAAAACAGCTCCAAAAAATCAAGGAAAGTATTTAAATTTGCTGTTTCCAACTGAATTCCGGGTTGGGAAGTGAATGGGGGAAGTATGAGTGCTGCAGAATTTGTAGGCTGCCAATCAGGATTTGCAAGCACATCTGGAAGGATACTAGGGGCTCTACGGGCCTGTGTGCGAATTCTTGGTGGCTGCGGGAAACTACTTGTGCTTGCCACTGCACCAGCTTGTACTGCACTTATGGGACTCGCCACGTCACCAAGTGATACTGCAGTGCTGGTATGTGAAAGACCAGGATGTACTAGGCCGCTGGTGCTCACCAGTTCACCAACAGGTAGAGTGGCACTAGTACTGGTACTGCTGCATATGAGAGTCATCATGTGTCTGTAACATCTCAGCAACCTGGGAATGGGGTCGGGTATGCCTGATCTTAGCAGGGACCTCTTCTCCATCATCTGAGCTATCTGTCAGGGTACTGCTGCTGTCTACAGGTTCATATTCTGAGGCTGATTGTGTCAGCGAGTCTTCCCCTTCACTCTCATCTGACATGCTCAGAATCCTGTAGACCTCTTCACTAGAGTACCTTTCCATTGAAATTTTGGCCACTAAATTTATAGGTACCTAGTGTGACTCATGGGAAAAAGAACACCTGGCTGTCAGTTACTGCTTGAACCGCTACGAAAAAATTTACTGGCAAGTGCTAACAGAGATCAGGTCTGATTCTGTGATCACTACGATTTTGTGTGCAATGTATCAAGTGACAGTGACCTACTGACACTGCACTTGCTGGGGGAGAAGGGGGGAGTAAGCGTAGGGGCTAATCGCAGGTGCTGGCAGATGCTGGGGCTGATCCCGCTAATGCTGCTTTTTGGGGACACTGTACTAATGTGAATGCTGGTATAGTGCTGATCTGATCAAAGATATTGATCTATTCAGATACACAATAAGCCACCATTGCTAGTATAGTATGTTAGCGTGTTCCTGGCAATCAAGGGGTTAAATGTGATTACGGGTTTACTGACAGGCAATTTGACGCTATCTGGGAGGGGCACTAACTGACGCGAACACTATCTGAAGTCGCTGTCCCCCAGGCCCGTGAAAACCGCAGAATCACGAATCACGAATCACGCATATATACGTGATTTTGCATGCCCGTGCTGCCCTGTAGCAGTATTTCTGCTATAGGGCGGTCGGGAAGAGGATAATGTACCCCGTACTCATTCCGCATTTAGGAGTGGTTCTCTGGGGGCCCCCTTATTATAAAGAGGGCTTTCACATTTAAATAACCCCCTCAATCCCCACATCCAATTGTGATACCCCCCCATTTTGAAAAGCATTTTGGTCAATGATGTCACCCAGGACCCACATCTTGTTTGTTTATATTCAAGCATGTGGGGATCTGTCATTAAGCAGTGGTAGTGACCAGGGGTGGACTGACCATTTGAAAACTCGGGCACTGCCCGAGGGCCCGGGGTCAGTAGGGGGCCCCATGAGATGCCCCTGGTACCTTTTTCATAGGCTTTTTTGAGTTTGGGCAAGGACACAGGGGCCCCATGATCCCCTATTGCCCAGGGGCCCCATGAGTTGTCAGTCGACCCCTGGTAGTGACATGGAGCATCATCATCAGGTGGCAGTTTGTCATGGTAGCAGGGCAACATCATTGGGCAATGGGTCATTGTGATTGATGTTGGATCTATATTGCTGGATGATGTGACTGAAGCTGGATTTACATCAGGGGATATTATTGTAGTGCTTACCACCAAGGAGCCACTGGTGATGATGGGTCCTCTGTTCAGCAACGACTCTTGAAACTGCTCAGTCCCCACTGACACACTGTGGTCTTAAGGGTTAGCAGTCTATCACTTTTTTAGAATACACAGAAATAAGGCCACAAACAGCTTAGTGGTAAATTCATTAAATATATTATGGCAACTCAAAGCAGTATGGTATAATTCATTAAACAGACAATTATACAGACATAATGGCACCATGGTCAATGACTCAGTAACTGGCACTCAAAGTCTATAGCAACATTAAGTTTAACTACAAGTGATGAAACTACGTAGTGGCATCAAGTACCTTAAAGTTAACAGTGACCAGCTTTCAGTGGGGCCGTTTTTGTGTTTGTAGATAACAAAGGCTAAGCTGCTAAGTAGGAGCAGTCTCCATTTGGGCTAACAGAGTGTGGTGGGCATTTAGGACATGTAGTTCAGCTCCCCCACTTCCTGGCAGGTGGCTAATTAGCTCCCAATGGCTTGGCAACAGCAGTTCCCAGCAATCAGGTCCACACAGACCGCAGCTCAGTTCCTGAAGACACAGCAATTCTCTCAATTCTCTGTCAACTCAGTCTCTGAAGGCAGCTCTATCAGGCACAGATACAGATCCACTGCCTCTCCCTGAAGTAGGGGGACAGGCACAGCAACAGGTCCTCTTAGCTCCTCTCTAATGGCTCTAGTCCCTCAGACGTGAAGCACAACACATCTGTCCCTGTTGCTTTCTTCCTTGGACTACCCTTGATTCAGAACAATTTGACTGGGAAAACAGAAAAGCTCTCCTTCTCCAGGAACAGGGATCTGTGTGAACTGAAGTCCAGTAGCCTGATAACCCTCACTGACAAGTGTGGTGCTGTGCTCCTTCAAGAACTGCAGTTCCCATCATCCATGGCACCTGCACAGTGAATCCTCTGCACTGAAGGGGGGAAGGCAAGGGATTACACACATCAGCAGCAGCAGCGCCCAGCTGCATTATGTATGTTTTTAATTGTGATTTCATTAAGAACTTTTTCTAAGGCAGTGCTTCTCAATTATTTTCTGTCATGCCCCCCCCCCCCCCCCTAGGAAGAAGAAAACATTTTGCGCCCCCCCCCCCCCCCCCCCCCCCCCCCCCGCGCAACTGTAAATAGTATCATTTGTCTATAAAATTGTTATAAGTAGGAATAGTGCCCCATCATTGGTGTCAGTGGGAGGAATAGTGCCCCATCATTAGTATCAGTGGGAGGAATAGTGCCCCATCATTGGTGTCAGTGGGAGGAATAGTGCCCCATCATTGGTGTCAGTGGGAGGAATAGTGCCCCATCATTGGTGTCAGTGGGAGGAATAGTGCCCCATCATTGGTATCAGTGGGAGGAATAGTGCCCCATCATTGGTGTCAGTGGGAGGAATAGTGCCCCATCATTGGTATCAGTGGGAGGAATAGTGCCCCATCATTGGTATCACTGGGAGGAATAATGCCCCATCGTTGGTGTCAGTGGGAGGAATAATGCCCCATCATTAGTATCAGTGGGAGGAATAGTGCCCCATCATTGGTGTCAGTGGGAGAAATAGTACCCGATCGTTGGTGTCAGTGGAAGGAATAATGCCCCATCATTAGTATCAGTGACACCAATGATGCGGCACTATTCCTCCCACTGACACCAATGACACTTGCTGACCCCTGCTGCAGTATTGTGCTGCTGCAGCCAGCATATGTGGTTGCAGCAGCACCTCTGCACTGCACACTTACCGGCTTTTCCCTCACTCGATTTTCGCGGGTCCGCTCGGCTCCGCCTCCTCGCCCGTGATTGGCCACCTGTGTACCTTTCCTGAGCTACAGTTCTGGCGGCCAATCACCGGTGAGGAGGCGGAGCCGAGCGGCAGGAGTGAGGGAGTGGCCGGAGTGACGGAAGGAGCAGCGCTGCCTGGATGGATCATCGTGGGAGCCAGGTAAGAGGCAGCAGCCCTCTGCCCACCCCTGTACGCGCCCCCCTTGATGGAGCCTCGCGCCCCCCCCGGGGGGCGCGCCCCACTATTTGAGAAGCACTGGTCTAAGGTGTTTGTGTCTTTATTCACTTATTTTTGGGAATGACTATAAAGAGGCAATAATTCCCTTGGAAGGTATGGGCCCATTTTATAAATGGGCTTACAGATTCCTATAAACCCACCCCCCAAAAAAACATATCTTCTTGGGGACCGAATTTACATGTAACATACAGCCTGATATTTAGTTCAGAAACTATAGATGGTTGGTGTTTCTTCTGCATGTAGCACCCCTCATTTTGATAAGAGAAGCAGGCCTATTGGCACTTGGCTGTCCCCAGATCTTAGAGCACAATGCTATAGTCCCTTGCTAGGCACCAGGACTGAGTGACTGAGACAAGAATGGGGTACCTGTAGTCCCATTTCCCAAGGCAGTGGCTGGTAGCAGAATCTTGGGATAATCCAAGGTCAGGACAGGTATCAAGCAAGTATGAAAGCAGATTCAAGGTCAGGGAAAGTTGCAAACATAATCCAATAGACAGTTCCAGGGTCAGGGCAGGTAGCAAGCAAGTGCAGTCCAGTTAGCAATCCGAGGTCAAATTCAGACAGCAATCCAAAGAGTAATATGGGCACAAGGCAGAGATCAGCAACAAGGGAATCCAATATAATAGCAGAGTCAGACAAAGAAACAGAAAGGGAAAGAAACAGGAACATAACACTATCACAAGCATAGAAGAACAGGCTGATGAGGTTTAAATAAGGCACCCTGTGATGAAGACCAATAAACCTGTGGAGCTTGTGGCCGGGTTTATTACCTTGCAGCTGGTGGGAGCAGCTAGGAGTCTTAAAAGACTCATTAAACCACAGATTACTGGAGAATCTGGAAGGCTGTCTAACAGTAGAGACATGACCCTTGTCCTTGAACATTGGGACAAGTGCCTTGCAAAGGGGAGGGGGACTTGGCAGCATCTCTCCTTGCAAAATATCCAACCCCCATGGTTGAAAGACATATGGCCTGGTCTGTTACAAGAGGGGGGTGCACATTTGCTGCCCTTTTTTTCCTGGACACGCTTATCGTCTCCCTTTATATTGTAAAGTGCTGAGCAAACTGTTGGCGCTATATAAATCCTGTATTATAATAATAATAATGCTTGGACAAAGGCCTGATAGGGGTTTTAAAGGAAACCCCACACCATTTTTTGTTTTTTTGAATGTCCCTTTTGAAGAACTACATCATATTGTTCCATAACTTCCCATGCAGCTTTAAGACTTCCCCAAGTATGGTATTTAAAGGACTGTGTGATCGCCATTTTCAGAGCTTGCAAACTACTTGTCAGGTTCATCAAACCTCCCACAAACTGAATTTTGCCTGGGTTGCTCATGTGTAGTTATGTCCTATTTTTCCATCCTTGAGACTGTACATATTAAGTTCCTCCCGTCTCCCTTGGTGTGTTTTATCCATTAGACTCCACACTATTTTTGCTGTCGATCTCTAGACTTGCTCTACCCTATCAATATCATTTTGTAAGTGAAGTCTACAAATCTGGTCACATTATTCTAAATGCAGCCTAATTAAAGCTCTATATGATGGAATCAAGACCTCCTTCCTCCTGCCGGTGAGCCATCTAGTGATGCACCCCAGAATTTCATTTTCTTCCTCCTCAAGGCGTAGAAAAACTGCAATCAATTGCCAGTATTAGCACTCACCTAAGATATAAAGTGTACCAGAAATAAAATTTCTTACCCATGGCAAACTGTAAGGATCCTTGTATTTTCAAATCTGAATTTTTGACTTTTAAAAATAGCAACAGGAACCTGAATGGTTGCTATGTGGAAAAAGCAAAATGACCCCTTAATTGTCATACATTAGGTCCTACATTTGTATCTCCCCTGGCTTGTTTTTGATAGCCTACTAGCCAGTCACAAAACTTACAACCAGTTGCCCCACCCAACCTTGCCCAGGTCCATGCCCAACCCTACCCATGGCCCGCCCCCAAACCCCACCCCCGGCCCACCTCCAACCACGCCCCCTTAAAGCTTATGAAATTACATTTTTCTTTAGAATAAATAGTCCGAAAAATAAAACTGTACACAGTAATGTATATCTCAGCTCCCCTGTACTCCATTATAGTGATAGGACATGTTGTGTACAGTACTTACTGTCCCCCCGAGCCCCCGTGGCGGTGGAGAGGGTGTCTCCTCTCAGCAGAGGAGAGCGGACCTCTCCTGCACTTGTCCCCTCGGCGGCGGTGCCACAGAAGCCGGAAACCGGAAGTTGTAAACTGGAACTCGGCTTCACAATGAGGCTTGGAGCGCAGGTGCAGTCGCTCCAAGCTTCATCTGTGCTCACCGCTTGCAGCCACACGCCACAGAGGAATTTCTCCTCGCATTTGGCGAGTGGCTTTTTCAAGCTCTGCCTTAGTTGGAATCCATAGAATACGCATATCTGTCTCTCGGTAGAAGCCATCATCATCCCATTATGTTATAACTTCTGAAACGTGGTGACCTCCAAGCAACCACCCCTTAAATAATTGGTCAGATGGTCTCTGTTAACATCCCTTTGATACCACAGAAAAAGGGAATGCCAGGGCATTTAGACAGCTCTCGTTTTTTACATGAAACCAAGAAACGCTTAAGCGGCCTTGAGAGAGACACTGTACTGTTTTTTTGCTTGATCAAGTGGATTCTGCTAAAACCAAGGACTTTGCAAGTATTTACAGTACCTGTTTCACCTGTTTGTCTTGCTGTTGCTGGTTCTCTTTTGTTTCTGTGTAACACTCTTTTTATGTAAACATTTTATTTGCACCATTTTAACCTTTTCATTATTAAACCTTATTTTGAAAAGTGTT